AAATATTATTTTTAAATAATTCAAAAACAAAATTTTAATTATTTTAATGAGAACTTTTAATTATAAATTAATGTAAAAATATAAATATAATAATCATTTAATATTATTAAAAAAATAAATTTAAAACAAATTAAATAAGGGGTAATTAAAGAAGATAATAAAAATTAAAAAATTAAAAAAAAAGTTATAAATAAAATTAAAAAATTTCAATTTGTTAACTGTTTGATATGAAAATTATCTAAAGTAACTTTTTAATTTCATTGGCAATTTAAACCTAATTACCATTCAATAATCCCAAATCATTAAATAAAAAATGTCATCAAATACCAAATTTATACTAATTTTAAAATAAACAAATTTACTCAATGGGTAGCGATTTCTATCCACTATACCAAATTGCCCTTAAAACAGAGGAATTATTCACAGCTTCCATTACCTCCAACCAAACACACACTAACAGGTGACAGAGTAAAGGACTTCTCTGCTAGTATATCAAAATCATAGGGACTAAATGGTCGCTTTTTAAACCTTTTTAATTGAAAACACAAACAAGTACCGCAGCTTCCAGAGGCTGATCGTTTATTTCTTCTTTCTGCTCGGGGGCGGCGCCAGCTCCGATTTCTTCCCCTACTTCGCCGAGTTCCATTGCTGATTACAGCTTTCGCCTCCTTCGTTCTAGTTAATCATGCCTGGAGATAATATAGAACTGCTGCGTCTCTATGAGCTTCGTCTTCTGCGCTGCACCCTTATTCCCCCTCCGCACTCCCTATCCTCGGATTCCAATGGTTCTCTCCCTTCTCTCTACTCTTCCATCGACGACATCCTCACTTCTATCGAGTCAGGAAACTATCTTGAAGCTCTCTCCTCCGACAGTTGCAGGCTTGTCCTTCAGTTACCCGAGTTCGACGTCGCTGACTCCCCTGAGGTTGCCGAGCAAGTCTACTCCGATTTGCTTCTCCGGGTTGAATCTTTTATTGTCGAAGGTTCTGTGGATGATGCCGACAGAGCTTGCAGAGTTCTTCTCGTGTTATGCATTGCTGTGGCTGCGTTTTTCTGGTTCCTTCAGTGGAACATAACTGGGTACGAGTCTGATTCTTTTGTATTCCAAATTTATGTAAATGGTGAGTGAGGGTTTGTTTTATTAAAGTTTCTGTCTTTTGAATCGAACAATTAGGCCTTTGGAGGAGTTGCCGAGGCGTCCTCTGCCAATGAAAGCATGGTGGGGCGGCAGTGAATGTGTAGGGTGGGAGAATTGGGCGCGGAATCAGCTCATGTCTGCTGGCTCCGACTTACTGGGCAAGTTCTCTTTTCTCCAGGTGATCTTCAATTTTTTTTTTCTTTTTCTCTCTCTTTTTTTTTTTTTCTTTTTTATTCTGTTTTGAGCCATGCATACACCGGATTTTCTTGGTAAATCTAACTCCAGTTTACTAAGTATTATGTAAGTATGCACGTTTCTTTTTGTTGTTTCAACTTTACTCTTATTTTTATTGCAATCCGCTTATCCATTAAAAAGATAGAATTTTTATTCCTATCTTCTATTCCTGCTTTTAGTCTCTAACCTTGTGTGTGCTATTTTCATTGAGGGTTTATTTGACATAGTTTTTTCCATTTGTAGTATATAGTTTTTGCTAAAATGCTGCTGCTGAAGTTAAGAGATTTGTTATTTGAAACAAGTCTCTCATCTACATTTGGGCTTAGAAGCATTTCATGGTGGATTTTCCGGGTCCTGTTTATTCATCAAAGAATTCTGGATGAGCGGTCTTCTACTCTTTTTGACATATTGCAAGTGCTTATTGGTGAAACTTTAGATCATTTTGGCACTCCTGAAGAAACTACACACTATTGGGGTTGCAAGCTACAGGATGGAGAAGCATTAGCTATTGTCTCAGTGGTCCATTTGGAAGCAGGAGTGCTGGAATACATCTATGGCCGAGTTGATTCTTGCAAGTGAGTTCTCTTGGTGGCATTTTTTCTTTTCACTCCATTTATCGGTTATCTTGCATCAAAATTGATTTTTACATTATATATGATGGATTATAGTTAGTGCCAGTTGGATCCTGTACATTGTTTATCATATTATGGAATTGTGAAAGTCAATAACACTGATACTGCTTATACTTAAACATAACTACCTTTTGTATAACTATTTCATTTTTTCTTTTTCCATGTGAAGATATTTTTCCTGATATTATTCTGAACTCTGATGGCTAATGAAATCTATTACAATTTTTTGTGGGTTTGAAGTGTTGGGGATAATTTCAGCAGTTCCACTGTGTTATGGTCAATTTTGCCTTCGCTCATACCAAAACATTAACCTGAGAGGCTAATATGAAAGTAGACAAAGAAGAGTAACTAAAATTGTTTTCCCATGGCTGCATCAACTTGTAGATGTTTTGTTCATACAATTTTACAGCATAACCTTCTTTTTAATTGGGAAAAAAAAAAAAAAGAAAGAAAAGAAAAGAAAAGAAAAGATAGGAATATAGCAGTAATTGATTGTAAATGGGTACAAATATAGCAGTAATAGATTGTAAATGGGTACAATCAGACAAATATATTTCACCATTTGCTGGAGGGAATGGCTTGATGTTCTTACAACTATAATTTTATTTACTTGACCAAGAACTATGTTTGGCTATTTGGAAGGTGTTGAGTTTAGTTAGAATATGCATTTTTCTGTTTAATGTGTGAGCATGATTAAGAATCTTAACTTCACTTTATATTAGTAGTGGAAGCACTTCTCTGAGGACTCTGATTTTTAGAAACACTGTCCTTAATTCATTGTTTGAATAGGTTTGTTCTGTTCTGTACTTAACACTCTATCTCCTTACTGAATTTATTCTGTTGGCATCAGGTCACATTTTGAATCAGCTGAAGTGGCAGCTGGGCTTCAGCTCTCTGTTACTGGTGTTCTTGGCTTCCGTACAATGCATCAGGTGAATGTTTAAACAATAGCAATTGTGCTTTTGTTGGGATTTTTTTTATTCTTAGTATCATGGATTTTAAGTACAGGTAGAACCAAAGGCACAAATGGTATTGGTTGCAAACCTGAGCATATCAGATGGTGGTCATACCTATATATCAGCTGGTGCACGTGTTCAGTCTCATGGATCCAATATTAGCCAAGAGTCTGACATATTTCTCACACCAAAACTACTAGAAAGTGAAAATAATGCAGGAAACAATGTTCAGAATGATGGTGCTAATGCCCCCTTAACAGCAGTTCAGCAGGCAGTGGCCTTAGCTCAATGCCTTTTGATCGAGAAGAGTGCTCGACATGATGAAATGCAAAGTAAGTTGCTTGATTACTTTTTTGCTCAGTCAATAGTTTTTTTTATTTTTTTATTTTTTTGTTTTATTGGAAACTGAAATTTATCATTATGAAACATATTGAGATGTTTGAGCCTATTTGGCCAATTTAAAATAGATAAGTCTGTTATTAATAGTAGTGAATATTATGTGTGGAGTTCATTACCATGTTACTGGCGTACCTAAATTTTTTTATGCCAACATGGACTCAAATGGTCACTTTAGTCCTTTGTCCCTTTGTTTGTGTATCACTGTAACCCAAAAAATGATATAAAAACCAGCTTCTGTCTTCTACAGAGTTCCATGGTTTTGTTTCTTATTCTATGATCTTATTATTAGATGTAGTTTAGGGTCTTTGTTTGTTATTTACTAATTTGCTGCTTAAATTGCATTTCAGGGTGGGATATGGCTCCATACATTGAGGCAATTGACTCTCAGCAATCATCATATTACACAGTAAGCAGATAAATACTATTGGATGCTCCCACCACTTCACATCAAAGGAAAAAATGAAAAAAACTCCTGCTACTTCTACTTGTCTTGTGGAATTAAGCTTTTAAAGTTATTTTTCCCAAATGAACAATCATGATACATTTGCACCTTAACCTAGAGATTTTTGTAGATAAGATAGCAATAAAGGTTTTATCCTTGCATAACATTTAGAAATTAGTGGATATATTGTGAGATGATAGAGTTTTTTATAATAGAAGGATGGTTTAGATACTGGTGGAGGAATCTGTTTGATATAAACTGTCATTCCTTAGTTTGTTTGCTAATAATCATGAATTTTGAGCTAATTATAATTGTTGCATGTCTTTACTTTCTTCAGCTGCGCTGTTTTTGTGACATTTTACGAATTCGGTGGGAGTCAACTCGTAGTCGAACAAAGGGCCGTGCTTTAGAGATGATGGATAAATTGGTAAAGTACAAATTTATTAGTCAATGCTTTCCTTGTTTTATGTTCTTTCATTTTATGAATTATAGTAAGCAGAAATTTGATTATGGTCTATGCAATGGTTGAACCACTCACTCCTCGGATGCCTGTCTCTAGGGCTAATGATTGATGAATGATCTGTTTCTTAAGACAATGGTCCATAGTCGTTTCTGCATATCCTTTGATTTTGTGAGCTAAGGCATTTCAAAGAACATTCTTGTTTGACTTCCTTTCAGTGTGGAAAAAATAGTTTAAGCCCTTGAACTTTACACTTCTCTTTGTTTTAGCTCCTCTTCATTAATTGTTTGTTTCAATTAAACCTTCTAACTTGCAAATTTCAAAACAGATTTGGTGGGACATGACATGTGTTGCACATGTCATTAAATTTCCATTTTATTAAATACATTTATATAATTAATTGAATTAAGTATAAATATAAAACAAAAATGGTTTGCTGGGAAGGGGACCACCCATCCATTTATGTGATGTATTTTTTTGGTGCTGCCTTGCCAGTGGCTAGCAAAGCCCCAAGGGGGCAGTAAATGGTGCTCCCTGCCATGCTAAAGGAGCCTGAATCTGGGAACCCTTACTCTAAGTAGCGCCAATTGGTGGTGCTCCCTTACTCCCTTACTGAAAGTAGCCCCTCAGTTCAGTTCCCATGTTGCTCACTTTGTTGTAGGGAGTACTAGCAGTGCCCCACTACAGCAGGGAAGCAGAATAAGTTAGTCCTCCTTTTATCTTTTGTAATTTGTCTTCTTTTTTTTTTTTTTTTCCCTTAATAAATTTTTACATGGAGAATGTAATGTAAAAATTTCTTCTGTTTGGTTTGTGCTTAAATGAAAAAGTCAAGAAGTTGGAGGGCCTAATTGAATCAATGAATTGACATAGGCTGAAATGAAAATTAGTATGACATCTGAGGGCTTAGAATGTAGAGATTTTTCCATTTCATTCTTCAAGTTTATTTCATGTGCATTGTTTTAGTTCTTTATTTCACTTGCTTATGAGATAATTACTTTGGTAACAAATACATTTTACTTTATTTTAGGTTGAAGGCGTCCATAAGCATCTTCCCAGTGTTGCAGAGAGGCTTCCTTTTTGTTATGTCGTTTATATCCCAACAATCCCTGCACTCCGAAAGTAAAACTGTTTCTTTGTCTCTGATCAACAAGGATTTATAAATCTGTCTTTTTATTTCACAACCCTTAATCTATTATTTCTTTAACTATTTAATGCTAACTCTGTTTTTTTCGTACTTATTCTTCCTTAATTCAGGGAATATGGTGAACTTTTAATTAGCTGTGGTTTGGTAGGGGAGGCTATTAAAATCTTTGAGGAATTAGAGTTATGGGATAATCTAATATATTGTAACTGGTATGATTACTTATCTTCTATATGTTTGTGAAATTTTGTTTTCCATCTAGTAATGAATGTTGTGCATCATTCACAAGGTGGATTATGTGATTAAACAGCTTGTTGGGGAAGAAAGCAGCTGCTGTTGAACTTATAAAGAATCGATTGTCTGAAATGCCCAATGACCCAAGATTATGGTATGTTTATTAGCCTTTTCTTATTCACCTTGCCTTGTAACTATTATTTCTTTGTTTAGTTGCTTCTGTTATTTTTCTTGACGTGAATCATATCTTGGCACAAAATTGCATATTGTTTTTCCATATGGGAAGGCAAATGCCTTGACCCATGTTACTTGCATGTAGGTATTGTTGGTTCAAGGAGAATTTAATTCAGTAACACCATCCTGGCCTCTTTTTGAATTTTCCATTTATTTCTAATGAATGATAATTGCAGTCTGTCTAATACAACCTACACTTAAATAGAAAACCTAAAACCCTAATTAGACTCCTAATTGGAGTCTTCATTGAAAGATAATAGCCAACCCTAATAAATATAAACTACTAGATAAATGTTACAAATTAATTCCAATATACTTGTAATAATAATATAATCCTAATATATAGATTATTTTGCTCCTTATCTGCATCACTTATCATACTCTTTTTCTAGCACTCACTCTCACTAGGCCCAGGATGAAAGTTTGGAATGTGTGATGGGTGTTGCAAGGCATGGTTGGAAGAGAAAGTATTACCAATTATTGTGTTAAATTTTCAATGTAAGCAATCTTGCATAGGCAAGAGTGATCTGTTCAAATTTATCATGTTTGAAAGGCCAAGATAGAATATTCTGAAAAGAGATTACCTAGCTGTTACCAATAATAATTCATGCTAAATAAGCGAAACTACCCAACATTACTTCTTTGCATGTAAGCTTCAATTAATTGTTGATTTTTTTTCATGGTTAAAAAGAAAGGAGAGAAAATTGAGAGAAAAGAGGCAAGAACATAAACTGAAAATGGAGAGGAGTATAACATTCGAACTCAAATTTCTCCTTAACAAACTCTGCTTATGTAGCAGAAAATAACCTAAAAACAATGCAAAAAGTATTCTACGTCCATGCTTTCTTGTTTTGTCTAAGCTACTTCTCTACATCAAAGGCAACAATAAAGTACATTAAAAACCACTCAAAGAGCACAGACACTTTTGCTACATGCTTGCTGTCATTTGGCAGCCAGTCTGCAGCCCTTCATTCCATTTATGTTAGATCTGCTGGCTGCTGTTTTCTTTGCGGCCTTGCTAAGCTCCTTTTCAATATAGATGACTCTGGTACTACAAGCAAAATGATAATTATAATGGTGATTATAATTTCATTTTAGGTGCTCATTAGGAGATGTTACAAACAGTGATTCCTGTTATGAGAAAGCCTTGCAAGTTTCAAACAATAAGTCAGCTCGAGCAAAGGTGATTTGCATTGCTTAAAATGAAATGGATTTTTAGTATGTCTTAATCTTCTGCCATTAACTTTTGTTCTGTTGTATCAGCGGTCACTTGCTCGTAGTGCATACAATAGAGGGGACTATCAGACTTCTAAAATTTTGTGGTATATTTGTTTTCTTGCATTGTTTCTGTTTCAGTTGGTTCTGTACCTGATATTTTCTGTAGCTTTAAGTTAATTTGACCGCGCAATGGGTTAATCTTGTGTTAGGGAGTCTGCAATGGCCTTGAACTCCTTGTATCCAGATGGATGGTTTGCTCTTGGTGCTGCTGCACTGAAGGTAAGTTGTAAGATCTGCAATGTGATCCTATGATTTGAATTTTGCATCAAATGTAGGTGCTGTCTGAGTTCATAAAGAAGTCATAGTTTTTCCCTTTTTAAAAATTTATCATCTTTTTTGTATGGCTTTGTTTCTCTAGTAGTGTTTTTATAACTAATGTTTAATATGATGATACAGGCTAGAGATGTTGAAAAGGCTCTAGATGCATTTACTCATGCAGTGCAACTTGACCCTGAAAATGGGGAGGCTTGGAATAACATTGCTTGTTTGTATGCTCATTTCTCTTCTATCAATTTACATTTTGTTTATTTTGATATATTATATTTTTATTTCCTCTCCTCAAGACCCTTTTAAGCTCTTGCAATATTGGTGGTAGGGCAACTTTTCCTTCTGAAATGCCTCAAGTTGGGCCTTCTTATACTTTGAAATATGCTGTTCTCTTGTGCAAACTGTAGTATTTCAGCTAGTTTATTCAAGTTGCTTGCTTATTCACTAAGGTCAAATGTCAAACAACAAAATCACCTTAGCCTCTCCAAGGGGAGGTGCTTTTCAATGAGGTGCTTGTGTTTCATGGCCTAGGGAACAAGGTGAAGCTGCTAAAGCCAGCACCTTATAAGAAAATCTTCAAATCTTGTATTTCAAATTACCCCCAATCATTTATGTCTTTAACAGGTTGAATAAGGGTGGGATTTGATTAAAAATGGTTTTTTTTTTTTTTTCATTTGTTGTAAAGCCTAATCATTTAGAAATCCTTTAAAGGACTGGGTTAATTTTATTGCTTGTTGGAAAGCCCAATTATATAACTGGATTTGTTGTAATGGATATTCTTTGTCATATGGAATTTATGGCTTTGGTATGCTTTAATTAATTAATAAAAATGCCCTTCAATGGACTTATAGGCATATGATCAACAAGAAGAACAAAGAGTCTTTCATTGCATTCAAGGAAGCCCTCAAATTCAAGTATTTTCCTTTATCCCTCAGTTAATGAACTTTTCTACAACTTTTTGTTAAGAACATTCACGCTGCACCTATGTTGCACACACACACATCCTCTACTAAGCTGTACAATTGTTTGTTGACAGACGAGATAGCTGGCAATTATGGGAGAACTATAGTCATGTTGCTTTTGATGTTGGTAACATTGGACAGGTAATCTTGCCTATGCTAGTATTGTTTTGAAACTGGTTAGTCCTGCTAATTGGCCAAATCTTTTTGTGAGAAGCAACTCCTAAGATGGATTTACGTTGTTTGTATGGAGAGGAAACATCTTATAAGCATTGCTGAGATTATGATATATTAGCCACACAACTTTTTTGGAAAGGGAAACTCTTCTGAAAGTCTGAACCCTCAAATCTGCCCTCTAAATAGGGGGGTAGGGACCGATTCACCCCTCAGAAGAAAAAAAACAAGGATAAATTGCCCCTCCAAATTATTGATTGAGACAAATGACCCATTTTTTAGTGGCTGATGATTTGGAGGGGCAATTTGTCCTTGCATTTTTTTGAGGGGTGGATCTGTCCCTGTGGGGGCTGGATTGGAGGGTTTGGCCCTTCTGAAAAATGGCCTTGTGGCAAAAGGTTCTTTTACTTTGGGTCTTTTATATGAGAAACTAAGTTGTTTGACTGAATGCAGCTAAACTCAGTTTTTGTCCCAAACTGGTTATGTCACTGGGTCAATTACATCAACAATTCCCATGTACTTGTTAGCACTAATAATAAAGGCACAATACATATACTTTGGGGAAAAATATAAAAAGCATATTAAAAAGGGGAAAGCTTCTAATTCTGACTGAACCTTGATAAGTAAGACAACATTTGAAAAATTTTAAATGGAGAGTTTCTTATTTAAAAATTTGTGATTTCTGATCTTCTAGCACTGTATGTCAGGCTTTATGTTACATGGCATAGCCAATGTTTTGATGATTATAGGTGCTTGTGGTGTTATTCTGTTCTACAATAAATTTCTTTTAATTAATGTATTATTGTACTTTTATTTTCATTTTCTCTTTATTTCTACTTTTTTTTTCTAGGCTCTGGAAGCTGTACAGATGGTGTTGAATATGACTAATAATAAAAAAATTGATGCTGAATTACTAGAGAAAATCTTGTTATATTTGGAGGGAAAGGCTTCAACAGTACAATGCGCAGCAACAAGTGATCGTAATTGTTTGAATGCAAGTTGCCCTACTGATTCAATTGCTGCTTCTAATCTTCAACCAGTATGTGCTGAACTAACTGTTGGGAGATCATGGGAGAACGAGCAGCTGATGGAGTGGCTTGGAAAAATTCTACAGCAGGTTTGCAGATAGTTTCATGGTTGATGATATGATTTTTATTCATGATTACCTATGAATTTTCTAATGCTTAAAGCAACTTAGACTAATGATCTTCCTTTTATGTATTCAGTAATCTTTTCCTTAATAAAAATATTATGTATTCAGTAAAGTTACGATCAAGTCCTCGTTTGATGCAGATTGTTCGAAGTGAAAGCAGGGCAGATTTATGGGGCTTGTATGCAAGATGGCATAAAATTAAAGGTGATCTAGCAATGTGCTGTGAAGCGCTCTTGAAGCAAGTTAGATCATATCAGGTATTTCTATCAACAGTCAAGAGTTCATATGTTCTGCCATTATCCACCATTTGAAGAAAATGGCTGAAGCAAGAGTGCCATGTAAATTTTATTTGTCTTAACCTAGGTTTGAAAGAAACTCATGCCTATTCCTTTTCCCATCAAATTTTATTTTGAGCTAATACCCTTTCTCTTCCTGTTCTCAGAAAATGATCAGATTTGATAAAAGAGTCTAACTAATACTGATCCAGTGCTACTTGTGAATGTCCTTTCTAAACACTGCCCTTGAATTTTTGGTTTATTGCATGGTGAAGGTTCTTTGGCTCAAAACTTCTTTGCTGTCACATTTCACCTTACTTGTGAATAAGCCAGACCGGCAATATGAAATTATGAGTACCTTTTTTGCTTTGGCAGAGATATAAGTTAAGGGTACCAATTCAATGCATAATCTTATCACTTGACCTTTTCATTCAGTGTTAGCTATTGAACCATTCATTGTTACCAATCACCTAAATGTTATTTGCCACATGGTCTAATCGTAGTAAGTGTCTGAAAGAGTGTTAGAGAGAGTGTTGCTAGCACTCCTCTTAATCTTAAATTCTAACCCATCAAATGTCAAAAATAGAAAAGAAAACAATAAATTGTACATTTAGTCTGTTCTGTGTTTGGGATTGCTGTAAAGTGCTGTGGCTGTTGCTTTTTCAGTATTCTACTATGAAAAAAATTATTTTGTTGTCTGATAATTGTTTTGAAAAGAGTCTTATACATTAATATGACCACTAAATTTTACAAAATATCAATTAAAATTAATTTAATCATAACCAATTAACACTTTTATGAAGTGCTGTGTGAAAAGGCAACGTAGAAAAGCAATTCCAAATGCCTACCAAACCATGTTTTAATGGATTTAATCTTTTACATATTCCATTTTATAACCATGTTTCACAAAAACTCTCCTGCTTTGACTGTGAATATTTTCCCAGCTTCCTATGTGTTCAATTTATTTGCTGCATCTATAGTTTTCTGACTCAATTTTTTTTTATTGATGAAATGATCTAAACTGAAGCCATAACTTCATCCTCTATTCCATGGTTTTAAATTGCTTTACATGTCTGTTGTTGTGTATGTGTACTCTCTCTCAGGGATCTGATTTGTGGAAAGATAGAGAACGCTTCAAAAAGTTTGCACGTGCCTCCTTGGAACTCTGTAAAGTATACATGGAAATTTCTTCCTCTACTGATAGTCGACGGGAACTCTTTGCAGCTGAGATGCACCTAAAGAATGTGGTGAAACAGGCAAGATATTTACATTCAGATATTCAATAATATATGGACATTCTTCCAACATTATATGTTTTGTATAATGCATACATCTTCTCTTTCTGTCACCACTAATTAGTGTGACTGCATTGTTAACTATTTTATAAGGAATGACATAACAAAAGGATATGGTATTGTGGAATTTTAGGCCGGAAGTTTTTCAGACGCACAGGAATACAGCGATCTTCAAACTTGTCTAGATGAGTTGAAAAAGAAACTCCAATCCGAGTCAAAGCCTACATAAAGTACAGATCCTGGAAGTTTCATGGATATACTGTTTCCATTAAGTCCAAAAAGGTTAGGCCTGCAATTGTATGTTCATTCATTCATTTTGTATGGTTTTAAATTAATAGAAGTAAGCCATTAGTTATCCATCATCAGTTCTGCCCTGATGAAGATTCAGTTATTCATTTTGTATGGTTTTGTATGGATAGTGAATCTTCAAATGAAGATTAATCAGTTTTGCGCCCTGCACCTCAGAAATCCTGAATTCTATTGATTTCAAGATTTGAATCTTTTCTGACCTAAAGTCGAATATATGAAGCTCAAGACTCCTGAATATAAGAATGGAGATTCAAATCTTCAGTTTCCAGACTTTTGGGTTCATTTTCTTTCAAAATTGAAGGTACAATGTTGGAGTGGATTCTCATGACATTTTTGTTCTTCAATATTCGAATATAGAGACATATTTTCAACTCTTCAGCCTTTTTTTTTTTTTTTCCTTCTTTTTTTTTCTTTGCATTCTTTCATATTTCTTTTTGGAGTTTTTCAATTGTACCCTTACACTCAAATTCGATAAATACTTAATTTTGGAAGTTTTGTTATCATCAAACTCAAAGTAGTAGCAACTCGAGAGACTAAGCAATTTTTTGAATAGTCGAAAAGAAAAATATGAAGTTACAATTTACCTGATTTCTTCTCAATTAGGCAGTAACTCAACTCAATTTTAACAATTCAAGTAGTCACCTTCAAATCCCAACTCATTTTCGCATTAAAACAAGTAAAAGCTGAGTTCGTTTCCAAAATCTAGATTCTACCTCGTCTGATAACTCCAAAAGTTTGTTAGCTAATCGATTAAACATTTCCACGATAATCTCATCTTCAAAATGTGTAGTGAACATTTCCTCCATGGCAGCCCTAACGTGCATTACCCAAGCAGGTATGTCAATTGGACCATCCAACTGTGGAGCAGTGTTGGTCAGCTCCGATCTTTCAATGCTGAAATGCCCATTTTTCTCTACCAAAGCTGCCATCTCTACCGGGGAAGCAGCATCCATTGGCAGGTTGAAGGAATCCACTTGATCTTCACTAATCAATCCCTATATTAATTAGTCATACAAATTTGGTTATATATAGGTCTAAAACCTGAATAACTATGATCATATATACAATTACATCATGTCATCAATACATCGGAATGCTTACCGCACTTGCCATGTCCATGAAAATAGATGCCATGGTTTCATGCATCACACTAGTTGAGAGCTCAGAATACCTCATTCCATCAGGTATACCAGGCATAATAATGGTCATCATTCCGGCCACCTACCACAATCTCCTTTGCTCTAGCATCCAAAAATTTCTTCATGTCCTTACCAAACTGAGATGCATAAGCATTGACTACTTCATCCGGTGCGTTTGTGTAGTGAACCCTTCCTTTGTTCCATGCTGCAGATTGTTTATCCAACAATTCTTCTGGTACTTGAGAGAGCCAAGGCAATGCATACGAGCTATGCGCAAAATGGATCGAGGACTCGGGGAATAATCGGTCATGGAAAGATCCTGCCACTACGGCTGCCAAGTATTCTCTTTCCTTAGGGACACATTTGAAGAATGTTGAAATCGTTGGAGGCTTGATCGTTGAAAAACACTTGGAATTCTGGCATTTTGGATTCAGGACGTTGCAACTGATACTTGTTTTTCATAACTTTGATAACATCTTGCATGGCAGTGAAAGTATTTGGTCCCGCGGTACATCCCAAATCTGCAAGGCAAATGGTATTTGGTGTAGAACAGAGCTTTTCTACGTCAAATCTTTGTCAAAATTTCATCTTTAATTTTTTTTTTTCACACCTTCAGCAGCTACTTTCTGTAAAATAGATGACATATATGGATAGCATCATAAGAAATGAAAAATTAAAGGAACAAGAAGGAAATATTGCATAATATATAGTAGCAAACAGGCAATTCTATGCATGTATAGCAACTAGCAACGTACTAAATTAGCAAAACAAGGTGGTTAAATTTACAAGACTACCTTGTTTATGCAAAGGAACTTGGTTTCAACTTGTTGGAGTTGGGTCAAGTGGTTAAGAATTGATTGATTTGGAGCCAAGTTGTTACGAATTGATTTGAATTATTCTGAGAATACAAGTTTAAATTCCTCTAAAATTACTTGGATGCAAGTTATTGAAAACGTAGGTAATTGAAAACTCGCTTTTGAATAAAAACTCTACATGGTGTGTATCATGAGAGTTGAGATGAAGATCACAACTTCATTCGAAAAAATCTGTTTTCTTTAGATCAAGACAAGAAATATTAAGATGATACATTCATGCTCTTTGCTCGATCCAAATATCACTGGATCAGGAGACTAAATTACACAATGATCATTCATGAAACGAATGTCATGCAATCGACCTTTCTATCACTCGGAAAGCTAGCCATGATATGTTAATAAACACCGCTCATGGTTTGTTTGTTTTGAGTTTTAGACATATTGTTAACGTATTAAAATCCTTAAGATTACATACAATAGAGCATAAGCAGGGAGTTTGACTCATGCAATGAATCATGACTAAACTAGGTTTCCTACTTTCACACTAGATTTCTTAGTATGTGTTGAATGAGAAAATTTTACATCGAAAACACAATGAGAGTTATTCTATTTATTGTTAATTAATTTTAAATTAAATGCAAACCTTAATTTAAAACATGTATGCAAATATGGAAGGAATCTGCAGATCCCAACTTATTTGATAATTTATTGGTTTTAGTTCTGTCTTATATAGCTTGGCCAGTGTGATATTGTATGATAACTTTAGGGCAATGGTCCTGCACCTATGGACCAATGAAACCCTCAAGCGTAGTGAAGATTAGGAGGCGCTATAATCAATTCTATGAATTCTATGGGGATCAATATAATATTGGAAAATGTAGATATTATTTTATGAAAAAAGTATTTACTTCAGAATCTGCAGATCCCAACTTATTTGATAATTTATTGGCTTTAGTTCTGTCTTATATAGCTTGGCCAGTGAGATATTGTATGATAACTTTAGGGCAATGGTCCTGCACCTATGGACCAATGAAACCCTCAAGGGTAGTGAAGATTAGGAGGCACTATAATTAATTCTATGAATTCTATGGAGATCAATATAATATTTGAAAATGTAGATATTATTTTATGAAAAATGTATTTTTCAGCCTACTTTTAAAATTTTAGAAGAAAAAATACTAAAATTACTATGTTGTTTTAATAATCTTTTATTGATGAAAAAACAAATAAACTTTTATAAAATAAGAATGAGACAATTTTTATTTTTATTTCCAAATGTAATTTATTTAAAGATGTAGTTCTGAGGTGTTATTCTTCTAATTTTTTAAAAGTTCAGCTTATAAATGCTGATATCATATTTTATACCTTTTAGCTTTTTAAGAGGCTGGTTGTGTGCCTAAACTTTTCTATGTGCTAATTTTAACCCTAACTATTTAAAACTTTTCAATAGCATCCTTCTAGTTATAAAATGATGAACCTTATAATGGGGAATTTAAAGAAGGCTTAATCCTCTTGGAAACTCTCAAATTTACTATTTTTACGACTTTTTTCCCTTTAAATTATAAGTTAAGATTTTTTGCCCTTTATTTTACTAAATATAAGGGTTTTAACCTAAATTTAGACTTAATTTTTTAATCCTAACCATTAACTTTTTTTATTTTTGGACAATTATTAAAGTTTTCTAAATATTATAATTTTTTGGATTTAGATCTAATTGACAACAATTTTTATTTTTTTTCCCAAAGTGTCTTTTTATATTCCTATTTAGAGGACTTTTGAACAATTTTTTCCCTTTAAAATTTTATCATCAGATGGCAATTAGGTGGAAAGGTTATTTCTTGATAAACTTTATAGTTAAAGGGCTTAAGCCTTCAAGTTTTAAATTCAATAATTTTAAAGTTTTCAAGTTGACAAGTGTTTTAGAGGATTATCCCATTTAAAAAGGAAAGTAAATTCCGATTAAATATATTTATGTATGGATAAAACATTTTATAGAGAAAGGCAAAAAGGATAAAGGAAAATGTAGAGAATTTATGCCCCTAAAAAGTCAACAAAGGAACTCGTGAAATGGAGCTAAAGCTTTTTAGTTTTTCTCATGGGCCGTTCAACTTTTCAACTTGATGAGAGAACACTAAGTTGGTGATGGGTCCACTAGCCCTCAGATCACAATATATGTGATTTTATGTTAACGATATTAATTATAATTATGCTTATAAGCTGTAATTCCCATAAAAAAGGGGCTAAAACTTAATGGTTTCCGTGCAACTTTGGCCAATTTCACTAGATCAAAAAGTTGATTTGCCGATTTGCCATTAAATTAAGAAAAAAAAAATCCCTAGCTGTTTGAAGTGAAAAAGTTAAAGATTGGGTATTTTCATCAATGAAATCAAAGTTTTTGATCAATACCTTTATCCTTACTTCTTTAGAAAAAAAAAAAAAAAACAAATACAATTTAAGATAGGAGATAGTAAATTATAATATTACAACATCATAATTTGAATTTCGATTATTGTTAAGGCATCAAATGCACTTATCAAATGACTTATAAAACTTAGTGTTAACTTTATAATTATTTAAAAGTATATAGTGCAATTAAAAAAAGGAAAATGATGTGTGCACACCCGGGTGTGCACACTCCCCATTGAAAAAAAAAAAAAAAAGCCTATCACCACCCGATCTAATTTTCTTTTTTATGTGGGGGTGCACACCCGAGTGTGCACCAATCAAGGTCCTTAAAAAAATGCCAAAGAGACTAAATGGTAAGGTGGCGGCATTAATTTCTCAAATATCTTATAATTTTATTGATCCATTGATAGTAAATGTGTTGATTAATTGATATATACTAAAAAAAATTAAAAAATTTTGATATTAAAAATATTACAACATCTTAATTTGTTTTTTCTCACACTCAAATACAAACTAGGTAAATAGAAAAATAAACAACGCTTAAAGAGGCATCTAATTCATAAAGGAAGGTACCCTTGCAATATAAGCGGTAGATAATAAACATTCTCCCCTTTAATCACTTGGTGCCATTACGCTTGCCTTGCATTATTGCTTAAAATAAATATTGGTTTCTAGTGATTGTTCCCATGTTCTCTATGAATAAAATATTATTTTATGTAATTAAATCTTCCCATAGTTTTTTTGGTAATGAAAGGCCTGCTAAACCTGGCAACCTAGATTCTAGCTAGCATCTAGGTATACAGGCTTCTCTGGTCCTGCCCACTTTTCTCCTGTTTTAAATTTTCACCAGTTAGATGATCCAATAGAACTTTCAAATTGCCATGGCCCTTATTGGCTGGTAGGGTAGGAGAACGGTTTATTTAATGATATTAAAAAGTTAAAATATCAATTCTGCCTTAATTTTTAATTTTATACCAAAATTATCTTTCAATTTTAAAAAGAGATTTTTTAACCTCTATTTTAAGATATAGATTAATTTTATTTTTTATTATAAATATATATAAAAAGATATAAAATTTATATTAATTTTAATATCAGGTAAATTTAATTATACATTTAATAAATTAAAAATTAATTTTTATTTTTTAATATAAATTTATGATAAAAATGTGTATTCAATACATCTTTAACATGTGTGTTAATGACATAAATTAAACAAACTCTTTTAAAAAATATTAAAATTGTTATTGAATTTTAATTTTTGGTACCAAAATAGTTCTTAAACTTAAAAGATAATACTAATTTAGTCCTTTAATTTTGAAGATAAATATCAATTTAGTTCTTGAATTTTGATTATAAATACCAATTTAGTTTTTTAATTTTAATTATATATCAATTTAATATGTAAATAAAAATATATCACGATAATAAAATATAAATATTTGATTTTATGTATCATTAGTATTTAAAAAAAAAAACTGATTTTGTGGTAAAATAATGAATTATGTGACATTTTTGTTAATAGAATGACTTTTTTTGTATTAAAAATTAAAATTTAGAGAAAATTTTGATATTTTTGAAGTTGAGGGACAATTTTAATATAAATTTAAAAATTGAGGAACCAAATTAATATTTTAACCATATTAAAGTTAAAATTATGATAATATATTATGTAAACATCTCTTTTCTTCTTATTTTTAGAACTTTTAAATTAAAGAAAAGTTAAATGTGATTTTTAGTTTTAAATTTTAAATCTTGAAAATGCTTAGTTTTTAAATTATTTTTTACATTTTATTATACGTAAATTATAAAAAAAAATACTTTTTAAGTTTTTTTAGTCTATTAAGTTTATCTATATAAATTCATGGTTATATATATTATGAGTTTAAAAACTAAAAATATACATATATAAATATTCTAAATAGATTAAACTAATTTAGGAACAAAAAAAGCATATATATTTTTCATGGTAGGATGACAAAAGGCTGTTAAAAAAAATGATGAAAAAAATTAGAAAAACTAGATTAGGGACTAAAAATGCTTAAAATTAAAAGGTTAAGGTTTCAAAATGGCCCACTTAACCTAAAATAAGAAATAAACAGGTACAAGAAGCCGAAGAAATTAGAAATGAGAAATTAGAGAGACATGAAGAGGAACAATGTAAAAGATGTAGTATTTCTATTTCTTTCTTCACAACATATTTTGCAAAAATATAAGTTCTATGTATAGGCTAAGTGGGTGGTAAGAGTTACAATGATTAATCATTTACTAAGCATAAGTGACAAAGAATTATTCACACACTTAACCATAAAGTGAGACATGATTGCCTCTTAATCACCATTGCTATTGCAAAAAATGATAAAAGTGGGAGGTGAGAAAGTTAAAAGGGTGAAAGATAGAACATTTACTTAAATTTAATTTATAATAGTAACAAGTCAATTAATTTGTTTAATGGTAATCTTTTTTTAATAAAAATATCATAAATTCGAATTATATGACATGTAGATGAGTTTAAACTTCAAAGTTTTAGTTTTGAAGGACTAAAAATATACATATATAAATAAATTTAACATATTAAATTGATAGAAGAACACAAAAAATACATTTTTCATACTTTAAGAAAAAAAAATACAAAAAAAAAAGTTCATAAACTAAAAATATTCAAAATTAAAAGTTTAAGAACCAAAAAAATGATATTTAACCTTTATTTTATAGAACATTATTAACACAATTGTCTTTTCAATCCAAGTTAAGATAAGATTTTCAACTAAATTTTTGTATTTCTAATTTAAGTTTTTGTTTTCATAATATTTTAACATTTATTGAATTTTTAAAGTTATAAACTCAAACTTCATTTTGCACCTGCGGCTTTAGCCACCTTTGTTTAGGTGCAGGAAATTTTTGGCAAATGCTAGAATTCTATCTGCTACAATAATAGTCAAATTATCTCTCTTCCCTTTAATTCCCCATATTGAAAAAGAAAAAAATGTCAAACCTCACTTAATTTAAATTTGCCGCCCTTCATATATTAAATTCAAATTACTTACCGTGAATCTTTAATGTTGAATTTCATTTGAAGTAAAATAATTGTCAAGGGAAATAAAGCAATCTGCTTAGGATCATGCTAAAGTTATCATATTCCTTTATTATCATCTCCATAAAAGATTAAAACCTAAAAATTTAATTGTAGATGATCTTTTAGAACTTTGAAACAATTTAAAGGAAATAAGTGATCATAAAAAATCGACAATTTTCTCTACAGTTTGCTATGAATGGATGCAATTTACATTTATAAGATTTTAAATCAATTAATAAATATAATTCCATAATATTATAAATTACTTAGATAAAAAATTATGCAAAGAGAATATTCTTGAAAAAAACATATTAAAAAAATATTCTTACTTTCTATACTTCAAATTTATTTTTACAACAGCAATATCTAGAGTTTAGGGATGATCAAAAAAATTATCTAGGGTTTAGTCTTAAAAAATATTTAAGATTTGTTTTCTTATTGTTGAATAATAAATTTTTAATAAAAAATATCAATAAGTAAATGCGATATCATAATTATATGGGCATAACAGCGGTCGTGTTCAGTGGTCGTGACCATAATAAAAAATAATGTGGCATCATATCATCACCCAAACTCTACGCACATGACGCCAATTCTAGTTGTTGCTAGCCAGAACCTAGAACGCACCAACTTGCACTAAGGAGAGTGCCTAACCCAACACCAACTACTTGGCGAAAGGACAGAAAAAAAAAGAAGAAGAAGAAGAAGAAAGCAATTGAACCTTGCTCAATATATATGCATTTTTATAATCTTAACAAAATACCATATATATATTTTTAAAACGCATTATATAATCTTAATTATATTAAATTATGTAAATTTATTTATTAAATAAAAATGAATTTCTTATTATTAGAAATTGTTTTTTTATTCATTAATTATTCTATTTTACCATTTAAAGTGCACAAATATAGGACTCATAACATATATACTTCTCATTTACAATTTATAACTTTATAATCATATATCACAATATGAGGCTACTTTGCTCAAAATTTGATCTCATATATTTATGGACTAATCAGCAACAAAATAACTTAAACAAGCCAATGAATTAATAATTTTTTACGAGCACACGTTTAGTAATGCGAACTTCACACGAAGACATATCTTCCCTTTCTCCAACTCCAGTCTAGCACCGGTGACCAACCAATAGCCAGGAGTATCTTGTGGTCCTCTACATAACTGCGACGTATCCACAAACTTGAGAAGCTTTTGTGTCTGCACCTGAATTGGAGGCCCTGAAGGGTACACACCAGAATCTAACACGACTACTTGTTTCTTCTCTTTCACAGGATTCCCCGTTATGGAGCTACTTATGGCAGAAAATAGGCCAGACGACCTTTGAGAAAACTCAGAGGAGCCTTGCGCCCAATTTGATTGTAATAGAATAGTATCCGAGAGTTTGGAGAAGAGCAATCGAAGATGTAGAACCTTCCTAGATTGGTGTTTCTTTACGTGAAGCTGAGCACCTGTAACAATGAAGGCTACATTTTGATTATCAGCACACCAACTTGGATTGTACTTAACTGGAGCTGTACATATATGAGAAAATTTCTTTCGATGAATAGCTTCCATGTATCGATTATCCGCTAAGTCTTCTGATCCTCGCCAGAACGGCGTGTCATCTATCTTATTTTCGAACATTGTTGGGAGATTAGATAGATGTTGGAGGTGAATAGCCAACCTGCAGGATCAATAATGTCATGAGCAAAACTCAATATTAATTATGATTCACATTTTACGTACTCATCTTGTGGCTAGCTACTAATTTATTTTGGAAAAAAGTAGCTAGCTAGTATGTGCATATATCATCATATGATTAGAGCAATTAGCTAGAGACAATTAATACCTATTGGATTTCATGCCTTCAAGATACAAGCGCACCCCAGTGACGGGTCTCTTCCCGACTATAACCTGATAGGTCATTGCCAACATGTCAAAACAATTATCCTCTCATTCTAAATCCATCCCTAATAAATAGACACATGAAATAATTATATTTTTGGTTAGATCGATATATGTACCTGATTAGTGTTAACATAAAGCTTAGGACCCATAAAATTGAACTGGAGAGACGGGGAAGCAGCAGACATATTGGTGGAAGGACCCAATGGGAGGTCATTGTGAATTGGAGCCCAAATCTTGTGTGATTGGAATTCCAGGAAGTATTGCAGATCAGCTAGAGGAGGCTTGTCTGCAAATATATCATTGAAATTCAAAACATCTACCAAATCAATAATTAAAGTCCCTTAAGCTAGCATATGTATGAATTAAAGATTTTTAAGGTGTACTTAATTAAAAATGTAGTATATAAATCTGAAATTTGAAAAAACAAAAACACTCTTAATATATAAATGATAACGGGATAAATATAGGAAAATTCATTTGTTTTTCTTTCCTTATGGGCTATATTAATTTGATGTTTTTAAGTGCAAAACAGACTAAGGAATAATATTCTCAATTAAAGCTTAAACATGATAACTTACATCGAAGATATAGATTAATAGCGTGTGATAGAAAACCTTTTCCAGGAACCCCTTTAAGGAGAGAAGTGATGGGAATGAAGCTGAAATTAATGGCATCTGGCATTTCTTGAACAGTTGGAAGCCACTCGTAATGGCTATCGGCTGATGGGTCACCTCCCCTCTTTGAGCATATAACAGTGATTCCCTATAAAATTAATTAAATCCTTATAATATTCATATGTTTTCTTTAAAGAACTAATGACGTACCATTCATCTACTACCGAAATTTCATGTAATATATATGGATTTGCAATTACTAAGTAAATTAAAATTCTAAGATCCGTTCATGAATATAATAGTTACGTGATCAGCACGGTGGAATATTACGAAATGTTGAAATGATCAATCGGACCTACATCTTTTGCAGTGACAGATGTGAAACCGATGGCAAGAGGTTGTGGGTCAAATACATCGTTGAAAGCCTGTGGAGCCTGCGGATGACACATTACCAATTATGAGGGGAACAAAGACTTATGAAACAACAGAGAAAGTTTAGTCAAAGGAAGGGATTACTTCAGTTTGAAATTAACCTTGAACTGTAATTCTTTGATTTTGGGGAAATTGCAAGTGCCCGTGAATAACTGGTCTCCAATCTCATCCAGGTGATTCTTCAGCTCTGTAGCTCCCAAAGTGGAAGACTTATCTTGCTTGACCAAGACCACGTCCTGGCCACCAATGCTTAGCCCCACAATGATATGCGTGCCGTATTTCTCAATGAATCTGCCATATTATGATTTCAGACTCTAGCCAATTCTGTTTACCAACACCCAAATTAAACCAACCAAGCCTATATATGGAGCTCAATGTTTCACTCCTGAGCCAAGGTGCTTAAAGGCAAGAGGGTGGGAATTTTACTAGCTCCCCCCAATATATTAATATTAGCTGTAAAGAATTAATACCATCATTTTCCCACAAATTCTTTACGTTAATAATTTTTTTTTTTTTTCTAAAAGGGCTAGGTAGGGTCTTAAGCAGCTAATCTTTTTTTTTTTTTTATCAGACCAATACACCGCTAGTCAATGTTAAGCGTAGTTAATTCTCCAAGTGTCAAAAAAGAAGAATATATAAAAAGAATAGTCTATATAAACATATGGTTATATACATATCAATAAACGATTTTCTTACACCTACCTTAGAACATTAATAGATTATAAATTTTTATTAAAAAATATACTTTAAGTTTAAATATTAAATTAAAATCTCCCTCTTCAAATTTATACTTATTAAAAAAATAAAAAACTTGTTTGACTCAATTACATAGAAAACTAAGAAGAGAAAAACATAATTCAACAATTTGAAGTACAAGTATTTTTTTATAAGTTTTTAAAATTAAAGGTATAATTATTATATTTTTATATCAATTAATATTAAAATTATAAAATTTATTATTAATTTTAATTTTAATATTAAATAAATTATTTTAATTAAATAATTATTAAAATAAAAAATTAATTTTTATTTTTTAATATTAATTAAAATATAATAATTCTATGCTTAGCTGGACCACATTCGGTCAAATTTGTTACCAAACTTGAGATGATTCTGGTTTAATTGTCAACAAAGGCCAGTCAAAGCAAAATTATCAAATTAATTGCATCATTTAGCCTAGAATTTTAATAAGACTCCAATTCCCAATCTGAAAAAAATAAAGTGGTTGAGGAAAAACTGCATGACCTGATTTATCATTAAAGGGGCATACAGGCGTCATGCTGAAGCTGACATTTTTGACTTTGTGGTATATTGCCAGTCAGACAAGAAAATTAGCCTTTAAAGATTTTAAATGTAGCAGTTTAGACCAGGACAAAAGATTTTTCTGGCTAGATGAGATTGCTTGGCCGCCGAACTAGGAGCAACCAACCACCAGCAGGACACGACACGTCACGTCTAATGAGTAAATGCATATTAATTTATAATATTATTTTTTTTAATACGTAATTTTTAAATATAAGTTAAAGAATTTTTTAATAATAAATATGTATAAAAAATATAAA